CATGAAGGGCAGGAACAGGGTGGAACTGTGGATGCCCCATCCAGGAAAGGCCCCTGTGCTCGTCAGTCTGTACCCCAAAGGCCTGAGGTGCCATGTGTAGGAGAACCTAGCTAACACTAGCTTAGGCTATAGGCTATTAACAAAGCTAGAGACAGTGGGACCCAGAGGGTGGGTCTTTCCTTCTTCCTTTCTACTTCTTGGTGTGTGGGCTTTTAGCCTCCCTTGCTGCTGTCACCACAAAGAGGAGGAAGGAAGTGAGGCGCTGGTGGCTAATCCTAGCTACTCAGGAGGCAGAGATCAGGAGGATTGAGGTTCAAAGCCAGCCACAACAAAAATAACTAGTGGAGTGGCTCAAGGAGTAGAGCACGCTGAGTTCAAATCCCAGTGCTGCAAAAAATAAAAATAAGATTTTTAGAAACTTGACAACCGTGTGTAGCAGTATAACTAACTTCCTCTGTAAGCCTATGAATTTAAAAGTACTGTTTGAGAAAGAGAATAAAGAAAGGTCCAGAGCCCCAGTCAAGAGGCCCTGTTGACACTCAGGCGTGGCCGGCCCAGAGTGGGGGCAGCTGCTCACCTGGTCTCCGGGACTTCCCCCAGGGGATTTGTCGAAGCCAGGGACCATGACCATGGCCATGACAACTCCCCAGATAGTCAGCTCTATTGGATGGCCTTGGGCCTCCACTGCCCACTGGAAAAGATGGAACTCCTCGGCCTCCTTCCTCATCACAGTGGGATGTAGTGAGAGAGCAGAGGAAGGGACAGGAGGGGTCCCCAGGGATTGTTCCCACTGAGTGCCAGGACACCAAGGCAGAGAGGGGGGAAGAAGGCAGCTGCAGTTGCAGTGCTGCTTTCCGCTTCCTGGTGAAGAGCTAAAGCCACTCTGGAGCCAGGTGAGACAGGGGCACCTCCCCTGCCAACCCAGCCTCAGCCACAGGCTCTGTGCACCCCAGCTGGGGGGTGAGCAGGACAGTTCTGCTGGGTGTCCCCACGCATGCCGGGCAAGCCCTGACCCAGGACACCCCAGCTCAGCCACGCTGCTCTCACCCATGGCTATGACATCATGCAGAGAGGGGACAAGGGCACAGTTGCTGCTACAGACCTGCTCCCGGCTAAGTCTGGCTTTCTTATCTCGGCCAGGCCTCTGAGTCACCCCCTTGGTCCAGAACAAAGGCAAAACTCATCCACCTGCCCTGATGAGGCCCAGCCAGCCAGAGGGCAGGAGTTCTGTGCAGGGAGGGCTGAAGCTTAATTCCGGAGGGATGCTGAAGGGAAGGGGGAGGCGCCTGGGGGTCTGAGAGAGATTTCCTCTGAGGAGTGGGCCCGGGCCACCCACTTCTGCTTCCAGCTTTGCTTTCTGCTGCCTTCAATACCGTGATAATCTGGTTAAACAGATCAGTGACCATAGGACCTTGGGACGTCCTTCATTCATTCACTCACTCTCACCCACAGACATTTGTTCCCAACCGGGGTCCACAGTAGACAACGGGGAGGAGAGGCCAAACCACACACACCAAATGCTGCCCTCCCAGGGCCAGGGCAGAGGGAGGAAGCCAGCTGTTCTCTGAGGGGAGCCTCAGGCAGGCTTGTCTCCCCTCCCCCGCTCCTGACGCTGAGATGGAGCCCAAGTCCTTGCACACGCTAGGCTAGACTAGTGCTCTAACCATGAGCTGCACTTCCAAAGGAGAAAAACTGAAAATTAACAAGCTAAGCATCCAATTTAAAAACAATAGAAAATAGCCAGTGCGGTGGCTCATGCCTGTAATCCTAGCTACTTGGGCAGCTGAGATCAGGATACTTCATCAATAATGAAGCAGAACAAAAGGAACAAAACAAGCACTGATTAAGGCACCGCAAGTGTGTTGCCGTTTGTTACTTCACGGGTAGCCTGTTATGGGACCACGTCCCTGTTTTTCTAGGAGACAGGGTCTCTCTGTGTGGCCCAGACTGGCCATGAACTGCCAATCTTCCTGCTGCAGCCTGCCAAGTGCTGGGATTACAGGCATGTGCACCACACCTGGCTCAACTGCAGTTATTTTGCTTTTAACTTTCACTGTCTCCAGCAAGTCCCTTTAGTTAATACTGAGAATTTGGGGATTTTCTCCCAAATGATTCTTTTCAAGGCTAATGTCAAACATGTTTAAATCCTGCTTCTCTTTAAGGTTTGGGTCTGAAGATGACTTTCTTCAGAGTAGAAGCACGCCGCACACACACTTCCACTGCTCTTCCTGGAGTGACCCTTGGCTCCCAGGCTGGTCTTAACACTCCATACTCCTGCCTCAGCCTCTTCCATCACTGGTTACCCCTGAGGCAGTGTTGAAGGGGAAGAAGGATTGCCCTGAGTGGAGAGGGCTGGGGAGAGGCATCAAGGGGACCTGTGCTTAAGTACACTGGGAAGCTCTTTTCTGCAGAATATGTCAGAGCCTTGAACCTGTTCATGTGCAAGGTAAGCCTCGTGGTGGCTCCCACCACTAGTTCCATGGCAGGCCACACGGGCTGAAGGGATAGGGGAAGCAGTGGGGTTGATGGGGGTCAGAGGCTGGAGCTCTTCACAGAAGACAAGGGCTTTGCAACCAGCAAGATGAGGACGAGGCCAGTCCCAGTCATCGGCGCCTCCTGACTTGACAGCGGGGCTGCCCTGCGGTGGGAACAGTCCCTGCACACAGCCAGCCGTGAAGGGACTCAGAGGGACTGATGGGAGGGGTCAAGCTGACCCCGGGGCAACCCAGGCTCCGGGCTGGTTTGAGGGCCTTTGTACCCTGTACCCTGTACCAAGAGGCACAGGTTCAAATCCTGCCTCCCATACTTCCTAGTTGAGAGCATCTGACTCCATCTGTTCAGGGCCTCAGGGCTTTTGTTATTTTCAAAAGACTTTATTTTTAGAGAGTCTTGGGTTTCCCATGAACCAGGCTCCCCTGGAATTCCCATCCTGCACGTGGCGTGGGGTGTTTGTCACCACTGAGGGCCCAACATGGCTACATTGAGGGTGTCAATGGCCTAAAGTCCACAGTTTCCCCTGGGGGGGGTTGTGCTGCAGTTTTAGGGATTTTAACAAGTGCACAAAGTCACGTATCTACCTTTACCATGTCACATAGACTTCACTGCCCTAAAAAGTGCCCCACCTGGGCCTCGGGTTTAAGGTCTATAGGACTGACACTCTCTGAAGCCCTTGGTCCAAACTGTAGGATTTGTTTGTTGATTTGTTTGTTGGGTTTTGGCAGTGCCAGTGTTTGAACTCAGGGCTTCATGCTTTCGAGGCAGGTGCTTGGGCCACGCCTCCAGCCCTTTTTGCTCTAGTTATTTTGGAGATAGGGTCTCACTTTTTGCCCAGGCCAGCCTGGACTGCAATCTTCCTATTTTATACTTCCCACTATAACTGGTATGGCAGGCACACCACCCCGTCCAGCTTCTCGCCCTTTGAGATGGAGGTCTCACAAATTCTTCTTCTTTCTTTTTTGCCCTGACTGGCCTTGAACCCTGATCCTCCCGATCTCAGCCTCCCAAGTAGGTAAGATTATAGGTGTGAGCCACTGGCCAAACTGTAAGTTTCTAATTCAGGTCTCCTGACAAAACTAAATGCATTGATGTCAGCTAAATGCTTCTCTGACTCAGTTCCCAGGCTTGGGCCAGGGTGAGGGTGGCAACTCCAGACCTGCTGAGTCAGAATGTGCAGGCCCAGTGATCTGCATTCTGACCAGGTCCCCTGGCGGCATGGATGGGAATGCGTGAGACCCTCTGTGCTCAGGGCAGGAACTCCAGGCCAGGCTGCTGACCGTGCAAGTGTGGTTTGTTCTATTCAAGCCACAGAAGACTCGGTCACAGCCAGGCTGCAGCCCTGGAGGCTGCGCCCTCTCCCGGGAGGAGGAAGCAGCAGAGCTCTCTGCCACAAAGCCAAGAGGAAAGCTACATCCTCAGCTCCCAGCAGACCAGCCTGCTGTGGCGTCCCCAGAGAACCTGCCTGCAGAACAGAGCCCAGGCCGGAGTCCTGGGCCCAGGAGGGGCCTCCCTCATGCTCATCTGTGTAGCTGAAGTGTCCACGCCCCAAAAGTCCACAGCTCCCTGGAACCTCAGACTGTGGCTTTATTTGCAGATGTGATTAGTAAGGCTCTAGCTGACATCCTACTGAAAGGCCCTAAATCCAATGACTAGTGCTCTTCCCCCTTTTTTATTTTCGTGGGATGGGGTTTGAACTCAGGGCTTCATGATTGCAAAGCAGGCACTCTACCTCTTGAGCCACGCTTCCCGCTTATTTTGAAGATAGGGTCTTTTGAACTATTTTTCCAGGCTGGTCTCGAACTGTGATGCTCCCAATCTCAACCTCCGAAATAGCTAGGATTACAGGCATGAGCCACGGTGCCTGGCTTTCTTGTAGGTTTTTGGTTTTGGACAGGGTCTCACTAAGTAGCTCAGGCTGGCCTAGGACTTGCAATTCTTCTGCCTTAGCCTTCTAAGTGCTGGGTTTACAGGCAGGCACCACCACACCTGGCTCAATGACTGGTCTTTTCACAGAGATGAGAGGACAGAGACGCACGCAGGGAAGAAGGCCATGTGAAAACACACATGCAGAGGCTGGAGTGACACAACTATAGGCCAAGAAATGCCGAGGATGACCCAGAGCTAACCAGAGCTAAGAGACTAGGAAAGATTCTTGTCTAGAACCGGCCGAGGGCAGCCTGCACACATCGATCTTGGGGTTTGAGCCTGCAGAACTGTGAGGGAATGACTTCTGTTGTATTCCAGCCACCCGGCACGTGGTCATTCGTTACGGCTGCCCTAGTTAACAGCCACATCATCGCTGCCACAAGCCTCAGCCCCACCGTGGCCAGGAAGAAAAGGGGCGCAAGCTCTGGTGATTCCTAGATGGGTATTTAATGGAGACTGTTACAACCAGAGCTGTTTCTTTGCCAGCATCTATGAATTCTGCACCTGCCAGGCCCGATTCCTGTAGCAGGGGACGAAGGCACTTCTGTCCTCTGCGTGGGAGGCGTGTTCCAAGAACAGCTGCGACATATTAACATGGTCCTGGACAGTGCCTGGCCGGCGGTGCCAGGTGGCAGTCCCTGGGCTCAGCTGGGGGTCGGGCTGGCATGTCACTGGAGCTTCATGCCACTTCGGCGGCGGGAGTCCTTCCGGGAGATGGGGCTGAAGTTCACGATCTCCTTGTAGATATGCTCTAGGGAAAGTGGGGTGCTTAAGGTAGGGTCGTGGGGTGCCAGGGGCAGGAGACAGACAGAGCATGGAGCGGGAAATCAGTTCAAGGAAAAGGAAAAAGTGCGGGAGATAATACCCTGGCATTGGGGCAGTAGTCTGGGGACAGGTGGATCGCCTGGGGCCTGGCAGGACAGGAAGGAGGCTGTGCAGCACTTACGCTTCCATTCGTCCACGGTGAGTTTCTCATGCTCTAAGGAGTCATCGAAGGGCTGCTGAGCCTCCGTCTCCTCCTCAGGATCCCGGAAGGGCTCGAAGAAGGGGTGGGCGAGGGCCTGCGAGGCGGTCAGGCGTTTGTCCACGTCCAGTTCCAGCATCTTCTCCAGCAGGTCTGTGGCTGCAGGAAGATGGCCGTCAGCCTGGCCACCCAGGCCCCACGGAATAGATGGGAGGCGCCAGGGTGTGGGGTCAAGACTCACCCTGGGGACTGGCACGGGGGAAGAGCTGGGTGAAATCTTTCTTGGGTGTCTGGGGCAGAGACTGGATATAGGATTTGGCCTGGAAGACAGAAAAGCATTGAACCCTTTAGGTCGTGCCTGGGTGTATACAGCAGGGCTGAAAGCTGGTCCAAGTTCAAGGTGGGACTGTATCAAGAGCCTCTGCCAGGGCAGAGGGACCCCGTGGGAAAGCACAGGTAGACCCTCCTCCCCGAAGGCCCCAGCCCACCTGGCCCACATCAGCTCACCGCTTTGTCGTTCAGCTTCTGCACAAACTCTGCACCCGGCACCCCGGTCACTTTCAGGATCTGCATCAGTTGGTCCAGGTCTGGGCGTCAGTTAAGGTGCAGCCTTGCCCTCAGCTGGGGCATCTGAGGCTGTCCTTCCCACAGCCCCACAGCACCTCCACCCACACTCCAGCCTCCTGACCGCCTAGCCTCAGGAGAGAGGGTCAGGTCCCAGGAAGGAAGGGGCCTGTCTGACAAACACTGCCCAGAAGGATGTCCCCGTCCTCCCACCCCGCCCCTCTGTCTGTTTCCTCTTCTTCTCCTCCATCCTTGCACTGTGAGCTGGGTAGGGTGACCCAAACACCTGCATACACACGCAGGTACCCCCAACAGTGCGTGTGGTGTGAAAGTGTGAGGGCCCCCTACGTGGTGCTGGAATTACAAGGGGCTCGTTTTCATTGTTTTGTTTATCTGCCTTTAAAAACTGACCTACGGGGAGCATGTGTTACTGTCAAACTAAGAAAAAGAGTTACTTAGGGCTGTGGGCGTGGCTCAAGTGGTAGAGTGCCTGCCTGGCAAATGCAAGGTCCTGAGTTCAAATCCCAGTACTGCCAAAAAAAAAATGGGAAAAGGGAAAGAGAGCTATTTAGATAAAGTGTGTGGAAGGCTGAAGGAATGGGTGCCCGGACGGAGCTGGTGTTTCCAGCACAGGATACAATCTTTCCCCTTGAACAGGGTCTTCCCGGTGAGCATCTCAGCCATGATGCAGCCCACTGACCAGATATCCACTGCAGAGAGAGGAGGGGTGCCATCTGAACCATCTGAGCAACAGATGCTCAGTCACATGGCCTCCCTGGGCAGCCAGGCACTGACCTGTCTGGTTATAGTGCATCCAGCTGAGGATCACCTCAGGGGCCCGGTACCAGCGAGTCACCACGTAGCCGGTCATCTCAGCATCTGCGTGCCGTGCCAGCCCAAAATCCAGGATCTACGGCTCGAGGGACACAGGGAGAAGGACCTCACTGAGGGGAGGGGCTCCTGTGGTAAGGGACCCACCCCTCCCGGAAGGCTTGCCCACGACCCACTCACCTTCAGTTCACAGTCCTCATTCACTGCCAGGTTGCCTGGCTTCAGGTCCTGGGAGGGAGGACAGACAGTGAGCACTGGGCTGAGAGGCAGAGACAGGAGCTCAGCCTGGCTATACCACCATCCAGCTCTGTGACCTCAGTCAGGCCTTTTCCCCTCTCTGGGCCTTAGTTTCCCCATATATACAATGAGAATTACAGTAGGTATCCTCTAGGGCCCTATCCAGCTCTACAATGGTCATGTCTCTGAACCATAAAACGCCAGCTCAAGGATCACTCTAGTAATATTGAGGCCCCAGAAAACTCCCCAGAACCCAGCCATTCTTCCATGTGTCCTTCCACAGCCTCCATGGCCAAGGCAGGGTCTGAAAAATCCACATTCCCAGCTCTGAGAATTGTTCCTTTGTCACTTTCCAAACTCCCTGGCTGCTGAAGGATCCAGCCACTGCCTCTGGGGAGGGTCAGGGGCCCCTGAGGACCATGACAGAGAAAGCACTCACCCTGTGCACGATGCCAGCTGAGTGGATGTACTGAGCGGGAGAGAGAAAGAGACAGGTGACTCAGTGCCCAGGATGCCACACTGGGCATCACAGGCTGGCAGAAACCTCCTCCACCCCATCATGATGGGTTCCCTCCACCCTCGCCTCCCCTAAACCTAGGTCTCCACCCCAAGGCGCCTCTGCTCCCCCTCACCTTAAGACCTTTGAGCATCTGGTACACCAGGTACTGGATTTTCTCCTCACTGAACTCCACGCCCATGATCTTCTGCAGATCAGTCTGCATGAAGGGCATCACCAGGTAGCTGGAAGGCACAGTCCCCAGCCCCACCCAGGCCCAAGTGTGAGTTCAGAACAGGGGCCTTAGAGATGACCTCGGGCAAGAAGGTGTAAGAAGAACCAGCCCCACCTGGGCCTGGCACTCCTGGCTTCTGACCCCATCCCAGGTTGCCAGGTACGTTGGCAGAGCTCAGGGTAAACATTGACACTGGAGCGTGCTCAGGAAAACCAAAAGGAGCCCTCTCCCTGCCCTCCTCCATGCCCCTCTGCAAACCACAGCTGGGAGCTAGAAGCATTTGCCAGCACTTCCTTTTGCCTCTATCCAGATGTTTCTCCCCCTCGGGGTCATGCTCCCTACCAAACAAAATGTCTGTCCTTCCAGGAAGAAAGCAATAAAAAATAAATTTCAGGAGGGTGGAAGAAGAAGGTGGCTGGACATTGCACACCTTCTTATAGGATTGCAAAAATGAGGTCAAGGTCAGCAACATGAAACTCTTACTCGAGGTAGTAACAACAAAGTCCTGAACAACACATAATAGATGATAAAAGGAATATAAATATGTATATATGTATGTATATAATATATATACAGTATATATATAATATATACATAGTGTGTGTGTGTGTGTGTGGTACTGGGGCTTGAACTCAGGACCTACACCTTGAGCCATTCCACCAGCCCTTTTTTGCAATGGGTTCTTTGAGATAGGGTCTTGTGGAACTATTCGCCTGGGCTGGCCTTGAACGGTGATCCTCCTGATTGCTGCCTCCTGAGTAGCTACGATTACAGGTGTGAGCCACAGGTGCCAGGCTCTCCCTCAGAATCTCCCTGCTCTCCTCTCCCTCTGACAGGCTCTTGTTTTCCTCTGCTTGGGCTGTGTCTTTCCTCTAATGTGGATATGTGAATGCATTAGACATCTGAGCATGTCTAACGATGACCTGTTCCTGGCCTTCCGCTGTCATCCACAGTCCACATCTGCATCCCTGGCCCGGCCCTCCTTTCCAGGTTCACATTTATTTGCAATTGCTGATTTCAAAGTCTTTATGAAAGTGAGGTATCCGAGGTGAGGTTCACATCTCTCCTCCAAAGTCTGTTCTTCCTCCATCTTTCATTCCAAGCAGGAACCAAGGCATACCCCTACCCACTGCATCCCAATGACTATGGTGGCTTCTGTCAGTCCTGCCTCACAACTGATCTCAGTTCAGCCCTCGGCATCCCACCCCCTCCACTGTAGATCAAGGTCTGGGTCCCTCCTCCCCACAGGTGCTGCCTGCTCCTTTCTCTCTGCTGTCCCACCTGATTGCATCACTTGCCTTGACTTGAGGCCGCCTGTGGATTGAGATGAAGTTTGACCAAACCAGCCACTGCCAGGGCTCTCCACTCACATCCTGAACTCAGTATTGTCCCAACAGTGCAGTCTGATCTAGGCACTGCACCACAAAGCCAGACACTTTGCAACTCAGTTTTCTGGTTCTGTGTAACTCTGTCAAACACGCCATCAAGCCACAGGTAGCCAAAGCTTCTCCACTTCATGCTGGAAATCCAAAGCCACAGGTGGGCCCCCAGGGGATAAGGGCAGTCGGTGTGAGCCCTTAAGTATGTGTTCCTGGTGCTAAAATGGGGACGAACCAAAGTAGCTGTGCAGACAGCTCTCTGCTAGGCAGATACCCAGCAAGGTCCCTCCTCCCTCTTCAGGCCTTGCCTTTCTCTCCACCCCTGGCTGAGGCACCTCTCCAAATGGGACTCTCACCTTGACAGCCCAGAGGCACAGAACTGCTAGGGAGGGAGGCCCCCTACCTAGAAGAGAGAAGCTGATCCTTCCCCAACTTATTCCCAAGTGCCAAGTAAGACCTGCAAATGCCCAGAACCCAAGGTGGCCCAACTCACAAGTCATGGAAGTTGCGCAGGGAGGAGGCTGGGGTAAAGACATCCAGGAGCCCAATGACCTGAGGAAGGAGTCGCTAGTGAGGCTGGACTGCCACTGCTCTCTTCCCCACCCTCCATTGGCTCCAGACACACAGGACCACCCACCCTTTCACAGTACACCCCCTCTGGCAGAAGGCAGGGCCCTTGGATGCAGTAGAGGGGGTCGGGGGAGGAAACCCTCACTGGAGGGAGCTAGCAATAAACTGCTGGGGAGGAGAATAGGTGCTCTTTGCTCCAATCCTGGTGAGCAGAGCAAGCAGCCCAAACCCACCCTCAACTCAAAACCCACGAGGGTCACAGGTGAAAAAGAGGGAAGGGCCAGGGGGCGTTCCAGCCAGCAGGCTCCCTGCCTTTGACCTTGGGTGCAGTCTGTCCTTGCCTGACACAGCCAGAGGCAAGATCACCCCTAGCTGGAGGAGGCCACAGGGGAGGGTTTGCTGAAAAGTGATGGGGGCTTAAAATGGGCACAACACTTTGAAATCACTAAATGCCCTCCGATCTAAATATCCTGGAGTGAAGACTTGTTGCCAGGCCCAGAGCTGGGTCACTAGTTTTTCTGGCTGTTTCTATGAGACAGGACAGTCTAATGGTCATACCCTCTGGCCTGGTGCCTGGGTACTTAGATTCAAACCCCAGCTCTGCCACTAACTAACCACATAACCTGGGAGCCTTTCTGTGCTTCAGTTTCCCCATCAGTGACATGGGGCACTCTGTATTTATTTCATGTGTTAGGGACAGGGTTACCTAAACTTATGTAGCTAATACCTGGCACTGTTTCAATTGTTCTAAGAGTGCTAAGTTTCGGTTGTTATCAGGGTCACACAGGAGTCTAGTTCCAGCTGGGCAGGAGCCCTTAGACACAGAATAAATTACAAAGTTCTCTGTACATTTGCATCTCACAAAACTTATTCTGCCAAAAATACCCTTTGCACCCTTTCTGGGAAGTGAGCAGGGCAGGTCCTGGCACACACCCCCACCCCCATTTTACTAACGAGGCCAGGCAAGAAGCCTGGATTGGTGGAACAGGAAGATTCCCATTTTCCCGGTCATGCCAGGAGCTCTGTGCACTCTGGGGCCCTAGCCAGGCCCCTGTGGAGCCACCCACCTGGACACCACCCTGCCACCCCCCGACCCCAGCACTCCGCTGCCTCAGTGGCCAGCCTACGTTCTCATGCTGCATGTGTTTCAGCAGCATTAGCTCCCGACAGGCCCGCTTGGCGAAGATCTCAGACTGGAAGGGCCGGCTCAGTTTCTTGATGGCCACCTTCTCCCCCGACCGCTTGTCGATCGCAGAGCTGCAGGGGCACAGGCAGGTCAGCCACTTTCCTCCTGGGCATCTCCCAGGCCAGCCTCACCCCTGCACCCCCATTTGGCCAGCAGGCCAGGCTAGAAGGAACTGATGTCCACCGCCTGGAATTTGGTGTTCCTGCAGGAAGCAGGGGGGCAAAGATGGCAGAATCCCAGAGAGGGACAGAAGCATTTTCACACCCTCAGATCCACAGCAGGACAGGAGTCTCACACTCTATGCAATTTGGCAACTTCCTTCCCCCTTGTTGGGGCCTCACTGTCCTCATCTGCAATAGTGCCATTGGCCTTGTCAATGCTGGGGTCCCTTTTAGAGTTACAGTCTGCAGAACCAGATCCAGTCCTAAGTCAGCCTGCAGGGACCCAGCACAGCCACCCAGTGAGAAAAGTGAGCCTGCACCTGGGGTGGCAGGAGCCCGCCTGGCCAGCTGCCTGAGGCTGTCTCTACTTCCCTGTCTGGCCAGTTGCCTCCTCCCAGTCACCCAGGAAAAGTCCCCGGGAGGGCGCTGGGCCCCTGTCTCCTGGGCCCCTGTCCTCCGGCAGGGTGTCGCTGGCCAGGGGACAGATGGCAGAGGACAGAGGGGTGCCAGACGCCAGCCCTGGCTTGCTGGGAGGTGCCTGAGTGCCCCCAAGGCCCCCCGCGCCCCCCAGCGACCGCGATCCGGGGAGGGGTCTCACCATACGGCGCCATACGCTCCGCTGCCGACGTGCGTCAGGCACACGTAGGTCTTGGGCAGCTCCCACACGGTCTTGTTGACGTCCTGCTTGTAGAAGCCTTTTTTCCGGGTGAAGCTCATCCCGGGCACCCAATCTCGGCGGCCCGGCGCGGCGGCTGCGGTCGCTGCCCGCGGGCTCCCAGCGCCACTGTCGCCCGCCCCGCGCGCCCGCTCCTCCCCCGCGCCGGGGCGGGGGCACCGGCGACGCGTCCCACCTGCGGCTCTCCCAGGTGCGCAGGGCCGCCACGCCCCGGCCCGCCCCGCCGCCTGCGCCCACAGTCCCACCCAGCACCCACACTGGGGCCGCGGCAGGCGGGCCACCAGCTGCAGGGGTCCCTAGGCAAACTCGGGGTGCCCTGCAGGAAGGGGGGCGGCGGGGCTGGGGAGACCTAAGGAGGAGAACGGAGGGCATGGCCTCCTAGCTCCCTCTCGGCCGAGGCTCTAGAGGAAGGACCCCCAGGAGTTTTGAAGACAATTCCAGAACCAAAACCCCACCGCTAATGAGCCCATAACCAGTTCCCCAGCTTGAGCAACTGCATCTGTTCTAGTCAATTTTATTCCTCTTCCCTTGTTACTATGAAACAAAACCAGACATCAAATCATTTTCATCCGAAATCCTTTTGAGTCTTTAAAGATAAGGAGTTAATAAAATCACATCATTCCCACATCTAAAATGAGTAGCACTAGTTTTGTAATGCCATATGTTCACGAAGGTTCAAATTTTTAGGTTTGTTTGTTGAGACAGGGTTCTGCCATATAGCTCAGGCTGACCTTGAACTTGAGATCCTCCTACCTCAGCCTCCTGAGTGCTGAGATTACAACTGTGAACCACCATACCTGGCTCATCGTTCCAGTTTTGAATACAGTTTTTGCTGGATTCCTAATCCCCTAGAAAGGCAAATGACAAGCCAGAGCCATCTGCCACCTGTGATTGGTGGCTCGTGTGGCCCCAAGGAGATTCTGCTTCCAGAGGAACAGAGTGAGGGGCAGAAAACGGCCACAAGTGCTTTAGATGCTCAGTGGACCTGTCCAACGCTCTTTGGCCTGAAGATGGGCCTGTGAAAGGGGTGGAGGACCACTTGCTTCATGTGTCAGAAGAGCAAGGGTGTCTTAACAAGGAAAGACACTTGCTAGTGGCCTTCAGCAAGCTGGGGGGCTGCCGTGGTAGTCTGAAGCTCCCAAACCTTGTGGGGCAGCAGCTCCCACATAGTCTACAGCATCAGGTGGACTTGGAGGTTGGGGGCTGGTGCTGGGATTCCACAGAAATGCCTAACAGGTACTACGGGCAGGAAATCTGTCTTGCTTGTCTCTTGAACACTGTAGGATATCAGGAAGTGTATGGAGAAAGAGAAGAAGAGTGCTCATTTGAAGTGACAATATTCATTGACTGCATGTTTGTGTTTGTCACGCGCCAGTCATTATTGCAAGTGTTGGACATATACAGCTCACTTAATCCTGGCGAGAAGCTGTGAGTCAGTGTGACCTATCACTGCACTCAGAGGTGAGGGACCTGAGGTTCCTATGGGTGACGTCATTTGCTTCCAGCCACAGTCATATGGCTGGAAAGGGGCGGAGCTGGGGGACGAAGCCCATGCCCTTGGCTCCTAGGCCTTGCAGTGTCTGAGCGAAAAGGCACTGCCCCTTGAAGGAAATGGACTGAGCGTTTAGTGATCTGCCTTGTCCACGTCAGAAGGAGGTGTCTCGTGGCTGAACCACGTCCCCATCACTATAAGCTGCCCTGGGTGTCTTGACATACTCCTCGCCCTTCCCCTTGTGGTATCCTCCATGAGGACCCTGGGACTCCATGGGAAGAGAAGGAAAGGGGTGACATGCCTGGGATATGCACATACAACCCTTGGGGGTTGGTGGCACCAGTGCAAAGCACCCTGATTGTGAAATTGGGGCAGGTTCCTAAAAGCCAAGTCCTAGGGCTGGGTGAAGGCCAGAGGGAGCTGTCCTCAAGACTCAGGTTTTCTTCTGGATTAAGGAAGAAACCCTTTCTGGGGAAAGGGGTGGGGTTTGGGCAGACTCAGGTTGGGGCTGGAGTCTGTGTGGCAGAGGTGAGGCCAGGAAGGTGTGAAACACCAGAGAAGCCCTCACTGCTCAAGTGGGTGCCATCTTCCCACACAGCTGGCCAGTCCAGCTGTGGCTCTGGATGCCTCTTGAGCAAGGGCCAGGAAGTGATTCAGGCCTTAAACTCTGACATGACTGCCACCTTGGGCCTTGCCGGGGCTGTGTTTACTCAGCACCTGGGCAGCCTTGGGATCCAGTCTGGGAAGTTGCAGGGGGAAAGGAGGAGGAAGAGAGAGGATGGGGAGGAAGGGGTCACTGAGGATATCCTGAGTACCCCGGCTCTTCTGCTTGAGGTCCAAGACCCCATCTCTCTTCTCCTCCCCAGAAACTGACTCAGTGCTGTCTTGTTGGTTTCTGCTGAATTTCCATGCCAGCTGTCACTCCCTCTGTGTAATCTTGGGCCAAGGTCCTTTCCCATCCAGAGCTCCCAGTGTCCTTGTAAAATGGGGGTGACGTTAAAGTATGACGAGTACAGGCGCTCTGATGGGGTTACATCCAGGCAAACCGTCTTAAGAGGAAAAAACCATAAGTGAATAAGGCACGTGAGACCCCCAACCTCCAGAGCGTCAAATCTTAGCACAGGGCTGTAGTGTCGGCTGTTCCCTCCATGACCTGGGGGCTGACTGGGAGAGGCGGCCACTGTCACTGTCCAGCATCAAGAGAGAGGATCGGACTACATCTAGCCTGGGAAAAGATCAAAATTCTGAGTATGAATCACTTTTGCCTCATAATAAAGTAGAAAAATCCTAAGTTGAACCCTCGTCAGGAGGAGCCATCTGTGTAGTCAGTCTTAGGAAAGCATCAGCCCAAGCCCAGCGTGAGCGTGTCCTTCACACAACCAGTCGGGCAGCGATGTTCGATGCCTCCAGCCACACATGACCTGAATCACCCACGGAAGAAGTTGAGTTCCTTGCTCCTTGCTGTGATGAGCGCGCGTGCCATGGGGCTCTCGGAGCGAGTGCGTCAGAAGGACTTCTGCTAAGCTTTGGGTTGTGCGGGGTAATTCGGGGGACAGTTTAAGGAAGCCGGCTTTGTCCTGGATTGAATGCTGCCAGGAGGAGGAGGTGATTCTGTGCCTGGATACCTTAATGGTGCCAGGAAGGAAGGCAGCCTGGGACCAGGCAGAAGCTGTAACTGGTAACGAAGCCGCCTTTGCTCAGTTTAGCCATGAAGACCGGTGTTTGGTCATTTTTGTGTTTGGACGATAAGTTTTGTGAGTTCAGATATGATTATGGAGCAGTCTGGGTTTTGTCTCAATCCATCCTGGTGACAGATGGCCTTGTCTTCCGTTGATGTCTGTGTTCAACAGAAACACACCAGCCCTGTGCCGTGCCAGGCCAGCTCTGGGCCACACAGCTGGCTGAGAGGACCCGGCAGCACTCACGTGTCAGGGCTGCTTTAATGTGTGCCAATGCTGTTCCCCTAGTGCACAGGGACCAAGCTCCAGAGAGCTTAAGTACTTTGCACCAGGTCACACGTGCCTGAGACGGTGGTGGACATGTTTGTCAGACCTGGTGTCTGGCTCCAAGTCATTTAACCACCAGCAGGACTTCCTGGTGCCACCAAAGTCCAGGGAAGTGGCTGTCATTTTGGTGCTGTCTCCTCATCTGGCTGAGAACCCATGCAAGGCAGGGCATGATTTGGCACTGAAGGAAGTTTCTAGAGACAAAAAGTCCACAGACCCCATCTGCCCCAGGTACACAGCAGCAACTCAGTCGCCCTGCTGCCTCTGTCCCAATGGGAGCACATCCTCACCACATCCACCATGAGAACTCCCCAAAGGGAAACCATGACACGCCAGGGTCCCATGAGGTGCAATAGACATAGAGTCTGGGAACTCTAGCCCCAGCTCTGGGGGAGTCCTGTATGCCTTTGGGGCCTTCAAAGTGCCAAAACATGTAAATTTGCAGAAGGCAGGGCAATGCAGAAGAAAGAGTACATGTGTGGCTGCTTTGCGACTTGTCAGTCTGTGTGCCCTCAGACAGTCAGCTCCTCCAAGCTCAGTCTCCTCATCTGGAAAGTGGGAGTGGGTTACAGCACCGCTTCACAGGGTATGACAAGACTAGAAGATTACATGTTTTTTCTTCAACAAAATCGGAGACTAAGAGGGCAGAACAGGTTCTGCCTTAGTGGGGGGAAGGGGGGAGGTGGCCCAAATAATGCATACACATGTAAGGAAATGTAAAAACAATTAAAAAAAAAACAAAAGCAAAAAAACAAGACTAGAAGGGATGATGTGACAAGTGCTGTATTCAGTGCCTGACACACAGTAGGCACTGGATAGACGCTCCTTCTCCAGGGGACTATCAGTAGGCCCGGTTCCACCCAGTGCTCTCTCTGGCCAACCCTAGCTGGGCAAATAGTTTGCAAGAGCCTGTCTCAAAAATACCCAAACCAAAAAAGGGCTGGCAGAGTGATTTAAATGGTAGAGCACCTGCCTAGCAAGCATGAGGCCCTGAGTTCAAACCCCAGTACTGCCTCCTCCCAAATAATAATACAAATTTTAAAATGGGGTGGCCAGGGAGGTCTCTCTGAGGTGACATCTGAACAACCCCAAATGCATGAGGGACAAGCAGTGGGGATGTCTGGGGAAAGAGCAGGTGACCACCTTCCAAAGGATGGGGAGGAATCCACAGCCCACTCACAGTTTTTCTGCTCTCTGCACTCGACCCTGCAGATGTGCCCTACCTCCTGCCAGGCCTCCAGCTGCACCCCTCGGCACCCTCATCCCTTCTGCAGCAGCCTCTGGGAAGTCCCTCAGGGTGTCCCAGCACCACCCTGGGATGCCTTACTGGCCTCTGGAAACTGGAGGAGGTACCCTGCCCCAAGCTGCACCCCAGCATCCTCTTCTTGGGGGTTAGGGCTAGTCAGCTTGCTGAGGGCCGAGCACAGCACTGATCCCAAGAACAAAACTGCAGCCTCCCCCTCCTCACAGGAGCCTGCATCCGTAGGAGCTTCCTAGCCTCTCTGCGGCCTCCTCTCCCGCCCTTGCTTATGGCGCCTCCTGGTGGATGATGGGGGTAGAGACAGCTCTGCTGAGAGGTAGGGACCTCTCTTGTCAGACTAACCCTGCTGTACCTTGTCCAC